AATTATATTTTGAAATATAACTTTGTTACATATGGTTGGATTTAAATAGAATAATGCTCGGAATTATTTATATAAATGAGATAATTTTCAAAGGCGCTACGTCTCTTTACTTTTTCCGTGTTTGCTTGTAAGAATTAATTAGGAAAAGAAAAAAGCATTTGAAACATATAATTTTTACAGTTTATCATTTTAAGCATCATTAACAGCCATTATTCTATAGCCAATAAAATCTGTATTATTAGCATTTGAAGAAAAATTTAAGTCGAGCGTATGTATAATATCGTAGCACCTTATGTCACCTTAAGTGAAACTTTGCATTCAGTATGTAAATATTTAATTAAGATATCTTTCATATAAATTCCAGAAAATTGTACCAAATTTTTCGCATTTTATATCGCATAGGTATGCGAAAAGAAACACGAAATTCGTTCAGATCTTGTAATTTTTCTCGAAAACTAAAAAAATAAGTACATTCGAAATGTTTTGGAATTTATATGCGCAAACGATTTCAATAATATTAAGCGGACTTCTACATATTCACTTAAATTTTTACACAAATTTACTTGTGCTAAAAGGTATAGTGTGTTTATCATTATTAATTTGAATATTAATGTTAATATGAATATTAATATGAGAAGTTAAAAGTTGTATGTACTTTCCGAAAGTAAAATAACTTTAATATGGCTCATAGAAAATATATAGAATATGAAATAAATTATTAAACTATAATTTATACTGATAATTATCAATGTAAAAATTAACAGACCAGAAGAATAATATCGCTTAATCGATATAATCCTGCAAGTCATACCTTTACAAAATGTAATAAGGCATATATAATATATCTTTTTCAGTTTACCATATATAATATTTCTTTTTCAGTTTCCATAGATTTAGATAACACTTGCAGAACGAAGGCCTTCGATCATCATTTGCATATGCGTAATTTGCAAGTCATAACAACTTTACAAAATGTAATAAGGCATACATAATATATCTCTTTCATTTTACCTTCCACAGACTTTAAAATAACACTTGCAGAACGAAAGCCTTCGATCGTAATTTGCATATTCTTATCGGGATGATAATTACACGAAAAACACACAACAGTATACGGTAGATTTGATTAAAGAGGAACCTGAGAAAAATTCCAACTAGAATCCAGTGAAACAAATGACAAGATAGGTGACACCTTCTGCTGCGGAAAGAAGATTGTGGAGTTCCCTTTCCTCTTTACGCTGTAATTTTTCGTCTACAACATACAAATCGACCATGAATTCGACAATAAACCAATCAAGTATCACGACGACCGAGAACATTTCTTAAGGATGTGCAAACAGAAGCTCGACAGGAGCGAATTGCCGGTGGGTTTCGATCAATAGGCAGTTGAACAGCAACATAATTACCTAATGAGCAACGTTGACAGATACCGAATTTACTCGCATCCTTAAGATTTATCCTGCCCGGCATCTTCAAGGAACATCGTAGCGTCTACACTATTAAGTCCGTAGTGTTAAATTGTCCTCAATTTCTGTGATTTCTAATTATTCGTATAATCGCCATTATTTCTACTAAATATGTCTTTAATTTAACTAAGATGATGTAAAGAAATTTAACTGAAAAATGTATTATATTTTCACGCGCAGTTTGATGACAGGATCTGTTTAATTTCTGCCCCTATCTGCTCTTTAGTTGTTTGCGCAGGTGATATGAAATAATGTCTGCAGTATTGTCAGCAGTAATGTCTGCCGACAGAGCATAAATTGAATACGGATGCAGTTAATGCCAGTCAGTTGATATATTTTGATCAAATTCGATGCCGATCTGTCAACATATTTCTAATATTTTACTTTGAAATGATGGTCTAGTAAGAGAATTCTTGTTCGGAAAATAAAATTTTTCACTTCGGTTATCGGTTGAGTTTAAGACCGCGTAAAAAAAGAAACGTTCAAGCTATACACTTGGTACTGCGGATGCTTTTTGTCCGTAATATATTAGAATCTAGATTAAAATAGAGGACGTCTTTTTTTATGCGTGCTGTGATCATTATGGCACTTCTGTTGCTTCACGGTGTTTCACCGTGCATTACAAGATTCCGGAGTTGCTGTAGCAGACGAAGGTACTGAAATTGTGTAGTCGTGTTGTGGATCTCTAGGAAAAGGCTGAATTACAGAGATAAAATTTAGTGTTGAGATTATTTTTGTTTAGGTAATTAGCGTCTTACCGGGTTGCGCGACGAGACGGACATACATGGATTATACATCGATCCGTCACCATCTTAAAGGTAAAATCGCTGGAAAAAATTTTTACCATTTTTTAATTTCATATTCTCATTATATATATATATATATATATTGGATAGTGTTTATATATGTGCGTGCGTGCGTGCGTGCGTGCGTGCGTGCGTGCGTGTGTGTGTGTGTGTGTGTGTGTGTGTGTGTGTGTGTGTGTGTGTGTGTGTGTGTAAAAATATATATTAAAAAAAAATATATATATATATAGATATATATATATATATTTTTTTTTTTAAGTATTTCTGTGAAGTTTTAAGAAAGACCTTGAACCTTGAATTTCTTAGTGTGCTTGGAACGCATAGTTATATATCTAATAATAAAATTCTTACCATACAAAACTATCTCTTTGTCTCTCTCTCTCTCTCTCTCTCTCTCTCAGCGATTGCGGATAACAAATGTCAAATTTGGTCAAAAGCTTTCTGAAATGGGCTACTCGATTATCAAATAAATTACAGCTTTTAACTCTTTCTCCAACTAACTTTTCCGCCTTCTGTGTCCCCTTTATTATAGATGTTAAAGAGATCCGCAGATATTTTTCCGGGTCTTTGTCTTGTATTCTCTCTCTTTGTCGTCAGCTGATATTAATTTCTCGATATATTTTGTCTCGATAATGCATATATGTTTTACATACATGCATCGATGCTTCTTACGTCTCGACTGTCGCCATGTTAAAAGTCTCATGTAGGAAGTTTTTAATCTTAACAGTTAACTGCCACGTCAGTCACCAGTGATTGACACTGAACTTTCCGTTCGGGCCGCGTCAGTCACCGATGACTGACAGTATAAAGTACGATATAAAACTAAAAAAATTATATAGTTTAATAAGTAATTTCAGGATCGTATAATTAATTACTTAAATATTTCTTATCAAAAAATTTTAATAGATTTGGCCTGACGAAGATTTCCTCCGAAATGCGCGTGACAGTTAACGTGTTAACTACGTAAATCCGTAAAAAAATTCACTAATGACGATTTTTTATTTTTCTTACGACCAAAGAAAATCTCGACTGTGGTTGGTTAATTTTCTTATAGGATTATTATCAAAATTTTGTTACACGCAAAGGCATTATGTGCATTGTCACTTTTCAGTTTGAATCATCGCTGCGAGCAGACCGTTACGTGAGTTGACATTACTGAAGAAGATAAACTACGGTAAACACAGGTGAATTTCTTTATTTACGTTCTACAATTTGCGTACACGAATGGGTATAGCCCAGTCGAGTTTTGTCGTCGAGACCGATTGCCTCAATATTTAGGGTATCATTCTTTCGCTTTCGGATACCGTAAGTAGTTTCTACTTTAGTTAGCACAGAACCTGCACAGAGAAATAGTTTCTATAAATTTATTATTTCTATATGTTTTTATCATTCCACAATTTATTATTCCTTTGTTTGATTTTCATTTTCTTGGACTTGTTTCCAACCAATTTATTGTTTGAATTAAACATTATAATGTTTGGTTAAAAATGGTTATTATTGAGTTACTTTTAATATCCGCTAATAAATATGTCATTAGAAGGTTTTGTGAGTACTATAAAATATTTCTTATCGGAATTAGAAAGTCCCTATGAATATTAATATGACGCTACATTTAAATTTCTTGAAATGGTAATGGAATGAATTTAGACGAATATTTTCACGTTACTGGGAAATTAATATCAGGTTTATTCATCTCCGTGGAATGTTATCATCTTAAAAATTAAAGTTATCGTAATTTTATTGGGATGTTGATGTGCTGTGAGGGTGATTATCGATCTAACAAACAGTATGGCAACCGTGCAACCGATTATACGTTGAAATAAAATAACGGAAACTTAACAATGGGAGTTAATAACAGAATGTGTACTTTTCATAAAAATTCAAAGTTTTCGATCAAATAATAGAAGAATAGGAGTGGAGTGTAGCGAATTGCACAAAATGTGGCAGAGGGGATAAGTGAAAGAAAGTATAACTCTCCGCCCTGTTATTGTCAGATTTAATATACAGAATGTAGAAAGATATACTTGTATAAATATATAAATATATAAATATATAATTATATAAATAAATAAATACATACACACATACACACACACACACACACAAATTATGAATATGAAAATGAACAGACTAAAAGAAATAGTATCTCTAATGGGTATAATTTTACATCTTTACAAATTACAATTTGACACATCATGTTCTATTTATCTTTTTCTCATTTTCTTTCAGTAGCCAAACTTCAAGATAACGTTTGGATTACAAAGAGTTCATATTAATTATTAAACACACGCATTACGCTGAGAGCCGCAATAATAAACACGTAAAAGATTGCAGTGATAGTTTCGAGCACAAAGAAACCTAACGAAATCTTCAACGGGAATCCATCAAAGGACAAGATGGATAATACTCCTTATAATGAAAAGACATATTTTCCCGCTCCCTTCCACTTCCCCGTCTTCAATGACTCCAAGGAGCCGACAATAACTACGCTTAACGACAATGAACTAAACAAGTATCATGACGACCGGACTTACTTCGTAAGGATGTGCAGACAGAAGATCGATAGAGGCGAATTGCCAGCAAATTTCGATCAATGGACAGTTGAACAGCAACATGAGCACCTGATGAGCAACGTTGACAAGTACTTCCCGAATATACCGGCATCCTTAAGATTCATTCTGCCTGGTATCTTCAAGGAAGGAGACTGCGGCCGATCTGCGAGCGAGAGGCCGGACTGGCTGGACATGGACAAATTCCGCCGTGGACAGAAGTTTGCTCAGAATTACTTCTTCGGGATCTGCGCGGCCCAGATAATGTCTCTCTTTTTCATATTCAATTATGTGGATGGACTGAAAACTTTGATCCTCAGCCGGAAGTCCGATACGCCGTATCGAGCCTTTAAACGGTACCTGTCAACTGTGATTCGCGTGAATCGTTGGTGCCTGGAGGACCCGTGGGACCAAAAGACACAGGCTCATAGAGATATCCAAGAGGTGCGCAGCATGCACCTGGCGATGAGACGGAGGCTCTGCAATTACAACTACGAGCAGATCGACGCAAAATCCAAGATCTTGCGTCCTTACTGTCCGATGCAGAAGATACTCGCGCAAGATTTCAAGGACACGTGTCCGATGGCGAACGACCTTCAATGTCCTTTTATGATGACTCGAACTAAGAGTATCAACCAAGGCGACATGTCCTGTACGCAGTTTACGTTCATGAATATGATAGTGCTCTACCCTAAGAAGTTTGGCGTGCACGACGTCAGCGACGATGACTTGGAGGCCTTCTGTCATATGTGGCGAGGGCTGGGCTACCTTCTGGGAATCGAAGATCGTTACAATTTCTGTCGTGGCAGCATACAGGAGGTGCGGGAACGCGTCAAGGACACTATTGAATACTGGGTAAAGCCGTATTTGTCATCGGTATTACCGGAATGGGAACATATGTTAGCATGTCTCTACAAGGGGTTGCACTATTACGTAACAATGACAAATTATAAAATTGTTTTGCTCTACTTTTGCCACGTTTTAGATTTGAATATGCCCCGTCTGTATAAGTCTTTAAGCTTGATGGAGAAAGCAATATACATGTCGTGGTACTTCATGTTCAATTATTTGACAAAGTTGCCGGTCGTCGTTGCTGTCCTCAACGCAAAGTTACGCAGCTATTTGAATTCAGCAGTGAACTTTGGACCCCAGAAACATGCCGAGCTCAAAAAGAGATCGAGCAGATTACAACGCGTTTCATTGTAGTTAATCTGTATAGTAATAACTAAAAAGTCAATAAAGATAACATGTTATGGTTATATTAAAGATAACATGTTATGGTTATAAAGATAACATGTTATCGTTAATTAAAGTTACGTTTATGTTCATTACAGCTATCTTCTTTTCTTCTCCAGGGAATATGTAATGTTTAATAAATATATGTAAAATGATTTATTCTTTACGACTAATAAACGACTCTTACAATTCGAATTGAACAGGCCCCGTCTTTATAAGTCTTTTAGCTTTCAGCAAAAAGGAGTGTATTTGTTGTGGAACTTCCTGTTCGGTTATTTGGCGAAGTTACCCTTCCTGTCACTATCCTGAACGCAATATTTCGCAGGTCTCTGAATTTGGCGGAAAACTTTAGACCTGAAAAACATAACAAGCTCAAGGAGAGATCTATAGCACTAATGTAACACATTGTAATAGTTGATGTTGTCACCGCAATTCGCGTCCGCGTCGGTTGCGAGATTTCTTCGCTCCCGCATTCGCGCAACGGCGGACCCACCTTCGCTAACTTAGTTTTATCTCTCTAAAAGCGAGTCGGATTCCTCGCTATTCCTCGTGGTAAAGCGTCGTGGTTCCCGCACGTTCTCCCTCGATTCCGCGGACACGCCGGAGAGGAGCCGGGAGAGGTAATAATTTAGAGACCGATTAACAGTAAATAACAACACTTTAATTCGATTGGACTTTAAGGCAGATAATGACTCAATCCTACTGATAATCGACTATACGGTGTGACATCGAAATAACTCGTTAGTTATCCAGTGTTCTTCAATTACAGGCAACTGAATTCAATACCATGGGAGATTCCGTAACGCGATCAAAAGAGAGCGATCTCTCGCCTGAGATGTTCCGCGAGATGCTTCATGCGGCGGATCTCAGCCGCTCGACAGCAGCTATAATACGCGCGTCGTTTTCACGAAAAAGCTCTCTTGCCCGGCGTCGTTACGCGAATCTCGCCGGGTTTTCCGTTGGGCGCCGGCCGGGTCTTTCCCGACAGTAGTTACTGCTTCCGGCCGATCACGTACGGTCCGATCTAGCTCTTCGCCAGAAGCAGTTTCCACAAACAAACATACGAGCTCCTGACACGGCTCAATATACAATGCAGTCCCGACAATAAATTGCGAGGACTTGTGCGACCGACAAGGAGAGAAGGCAACCGAGTCTCGCGCCCGAGTCTCCGGGATTCCTACGCTCGAGACTCTCTCGAGCACGGCCCTCGTCGCCCTGCGACGCGGCCTCGAAATCTCGTAAGTCCGTGCGACCCAACCTTCAGGGCGCCACGGACCTCCGAGTTCCCGGTCCTCTTATCGCGCCTATGCCGCCGAGAAGCGACGGCAACTAACTTGGAATTACAACGCAACTCTAATACTTTTCCTCCCCGCGGCTGTACAATGATTCTCTTTCTCACCCACTCGCCGCCTGAAGCTCGCCTCTCCTCAGGACTCGTCCCGATATTTCGGCAGCTTCGCTCGCTTTCGAGTTGGGACGTCTGCTTCGCTCGCCGTCGGGCCGCACAGTGTCGAGCAGGGCTTCGTTCACCGGGTTCCTTTAGCGCAGGAGGCAGCCGTTGCACGGATCCATTGCGCCAATCGATGCGGCATCCGATTGGTTTTCCCGGCTAGATCACGCGCGACAAGGATGCTCGCGGAAACTTCACGTCTGATGTCGTCCTTTCGGCACTCGCTTTGGTTTCTCCCCGGGACGACTTTCGGCAACTGTTGGGTTCGCAGCAGTTCAACAGGGCTCCCGGGCGCGCTTTCCGCGGGATCCTTCCCTGCCTGCTCCGCGACCGGGTCGCGGGACTTTGCGCCTTTCTTAGCGCAAGGTGACCATCCCGCTGTCGGTCGCCAGCCGTCCGTCCGGGGAGATCTCCCCGCGTCCTCCCACGCGTCGCTCTAGCCGCCGTCCCTTCCGAGCCATTGCTCTCGTACGTCCTTGACTCCTCCCGGCAGCTCCGTTTCCTTTCTGCTTCCTCTCCTCCGGTGTTCTGGCTCGGGGGGTTCTTACACTAAAAAAAAAATATAGTAGCCACGGGTCGCGTCTCGTGCACTAACGGTACACAACAGTCAAAAATAATCAATTCGGTCGCCTTCTCTCATGAGAAGGGCCGAGTTTCCGGCTCCTCCTCGGCCAGGCTATGACCCGAGTGACGAGCAAAAATTTGCATCGTCACAATGTATAAAAATAATTCGCCAAATGGAGCAATGACGCATTAAAAAATGTTACATTGATGTTGGAGACTTCATATTACTGTCAACATGACGTCTTGTGATATCACTCTATTACTTGAATGCAATATTGAGTTAATATTTAATTATCTATGTTAAATATTTTACTTATCTATGTTAATTAATTAAATCATTATAGACATTTAAAGTTAAATGCCTATAATGATTAAAATTAAAATTAAAATATCTATGTTAAATAATTTAAATTTAAATTTAAATGTATATTATTAGTATTATTGTTGTGCCACGGTCGATCTCCCCGAGGCCGGTCGTCGTGCAAATGATCAAACTCGTGCTTCAGACGGAATTTCGAAATAACCAAAAGCTGGACGATAATTAAAGGTTGATATATTTACTCGATGTTTAGAATTTATCATCTAAAAATAAACAAAGAATATAACAAAAAGAAGAAATGCTTATGCGGTGGATCGATCGAAGCGATCACGCGGTCGTTTCATGTATGGATTTTAGTTCGCGGATTTCGCGAAACTATACATGTTACAAGTATGACGCGGTTTGTACAATAAGGCGATTAAATTCGATGCACGAGCGGCACTTTACACGGTCTTCCTGTTATATTTAGACAATTCCTCGATTTCGACAAACCGTCTCTGTAATATATTTTTCTCTGTGATAACGATTACGTAAAGTCGACAGTTATCGACAATTTTATTTATGTTAAGTAAAGAAAAAAATGGTAATGGTAAGACAACTACTTTAAAATTAAAATAGTTCGTTCAATAATTCAAGTGCTTAAATAGATAAGTATGCAAATTACATATGTGAGACAAATCGGTAATGTAAATATATTTATTCATACGTAATTAACCATATAAAAACGTGGTGCCGTGTTGCGAGCATGAGTTGTTTAATGCATATCGCTCTGACACATCGTATTATTGATAGTTTATGATCAAATTTATTTACCAGAATTTTGAAACGCTGTTATTGGATAACATTGTTAATTGACAGGGCGTTAATTAACAAATCCGATTTAGCCGCTCGGGCATCTTTGCACGTATACTTTGCACAATCCTTACAAAAGTATATTACTTGCTGTAGTAAGCTTTACAGAAATATATTACTGCTAACCTAGCGATTAAAAAATTATTTTAAATATTTAAAACACCGTTGTTAGTAATTCGTAATTATCACATTATAAATCTCGCAATGATGCCAAACATTTCTTACAGTGCTCACATGTTATAAGCAAATATATGAATCATTAAGTAGATAAATTATTAATTATTAAATTATCAATATAAAAGTTAATAGACTCGTAGAAAATAATGTCGCCTAATGACTATAATTTCGCATAACACATCTTTAAAAAATATAATCAGACATTGTATAAAATTTATCTTCCTTCCCCTTTTCTTTCGACAGATTCAGATTTCTAGATTGGACCACGAAGGGCTCACTAATCATTATTCAAATATTTCCATCACGATGATGCGACAAAGCAATATTCAACAACATACGATGACACTTTGGAACAAAGAGAAACCTGAGGAAAATTGCAGGGATCTATCAGAGGACAATATGCATGACACTTTCTGCAGCGAAGAGAAAATCGCAGAGTCATCTTTTTATACTCCCGAACAATTTTCCGTCCACCAAAATTCCAAGGAGTCGACGAAAACTTTGTTTAAACACAATGAGCCAAACAACCAAAATGACGATCTTATAAACTTCGTGAAGATGTGCAAACAGAAGCTCGATAGAGACGAATTGCCGGCAAATTTCGATCAATGGACAGTTGAACAGCAACATGATCACCTGATGAGCAACGTTGACAAGTACTTCCCGAATATACCGGCATCCTTGAGATTCATTCTGCCTGGGATCTTCAAGGACGGAGACTGCGGCAGATCTGCGAGCGAGAGGCCGGGCTGGCTGGACGTGGACAAATTCCGTCGTGGACAGAAGTTCGCTCAGAATTACTACGCCGGGATCTGCATAGCCCAGGTGACGTCTTTGCTGCAATTATTTACTTTGCAGGACGGGTTAAAGACTCTGATTCTTAGCCGGAAGTCCGACACGCCGTATAAGGCTTTCAAGCGGTACCTATCGACTGTGATTCGCGTGAACCATTGGTACCTGGAGGACCCGTGGGATCGAAGGACACAGGCTCATAGAGACATCGAAGAGGTACGCAACATGCACCTGGCGATGAGACGGAGACTCTGCAGCTACGACAACAAGCAGATCGACGCGGGGTCTCAGATCCTGCAGCTTTATTGCCCGTTGCAGGAGGTACTACTGAAGGACTTCAGAGACTCATGTCCGGTAGCGAGCGATTTTCAATGTCCATTCACGATGACTCGAACTAAAAGTCTCAACCAAGGCGACATGTCTATCACGCAGTGTGGATTCATAGGTTTGATAGTGCTCTACCCGGAACAATTCGGGCTACACAACGTCTGCGACGAGGACCTGGAGGCCTTCTGCCATATGTGGCGAGGACTGGGATATCTTCTGGGCGTCGAGGATCGTTACAATTTCTGTCGTGGCAGCCTGCTGGAGATACAGCAGCGCGTCAAGGATACCTTAGAATACTGGATAAAACCGAACCTGTCATTAGTGACGCCGGAGTGGGAGCACATGTTGATATGCCTCTGGAAAGGATTGCGTTATTACCTGCCGACTTCGACTTATAGAGTTCACTTACTCTATTTTTGCAATGTGTTAGAATTGAACATGCTCGGCCTTTACAAGTCTTTGAGTTTTAGGGAGAAAGCGATATATTTATGGTCGATATTCATGTTCATGTACTTGGCGAGGTTGCCAATCGTTGTTGCTATCATGAACGCAGTAACTCGCAGATGTCTGAATTTGGCGGTAAACTTTAGACCCGAAAAACGTCACAAACTCAAAAAGAGATCTGATGAAAATATATTGTAGTAGTTAATTTATAAAAATATCTTCCAAAGTAACAGACCGATGTCCGAGGACGTATTTACATTTATACTGACACTCGATATACTGACACTCGATATACTCTCGTCATATGATCCCAGAAAAAAGTGATTATATATATATGATTATGTATAATTATATAGAATCATGTATGAATTTTGCAGTATATGTGGTTACATACATGATCATATTTATGTTTATGTCCATATAAAAAAAATTATGTAGTTTAATTTAATATCGATATCATGTGCTGTCGGAAGTACAAGTAGCACAGAAGCATTTACTTCGATTATATTTGCATATGATTTGTAAAGAATAGTATTTTAGGTTGTGGACATATATATATATATATATAGAATCTATATATATATATATATATATATATATATATTTAGAATTTTTCTCCAGCAGAGAAAAAGTTTTCCTTTTGGATTATACGTGTTTATTTGANTATATATATATATATATATATATATAGAATAGTAAAAAAAAATGACAGAGCACGCGCGGTTTGAATCAGATATCAATATATATAATATGCATTATTTACCTTATTGCGAGTCACCAACATTTTTCTTCACTCATTTATTCGAAATTTAATAAGGAATCGAAATATCTAAACATTATTGTCGTAACTGATTGAGAAGTACATGTAATCTCCAATCGTTTACGATCGCATCCGCTGCGGTGCTGCGCGTCGATGGTAAACAAATGATCGTTTTGACCACAAAAAACGGACCAAACTAATTTGTACTCCCAATATTTTAATCTTCTTCTTGTATTTGCATTATTGCAATAATGCTGATTTATAAAAGTTTGCTTAATGTTAACCCATATATCTCATTGCTTAACTTTAGCTGACCCTTTCATCTTTTAAATATTGTATCTTTCATAATGAACTTTCTCACCAATTTACCGCTATTAATAATCCATGTGAGAACCAAGTTATGTTATTAGTATAATTAATAAACTGTTTTATTCAAAATGCCCTAAATTTAACCAAGTTGTTAAAATTATTTATTCATTTCCTATCAATTAATTAAATCTGAATTTCCCTCTCAACACTCTCATATGGTCCTATCCCAGGTGTTCAAAATTCTAATTAAAGTCGTTAACGTTATCATGCTCATCATGTGAGCCGAGCATGATGCGGCAAACGATCTCACATGTTCAAACAATAACACGCGGATTACTAACCCACAACAACATAAGTAAACAAGAAGCACGCGTGTCTCATCACGTGTTCGGGTAGAAGAACACCGAATTGTCACATCATATCAAAAACATGATCGAAAAGGCTTCGTCCGATCGAAGGTCGATCAATCTATTCGTTTCGCTGAAAAAAAAAAAACAAAAAACCCGCGTTATATCGGTATGTAAACTAGGTGCCTTGAGAGCACAAAAAACCGTTATAGAAACGTTAAGCGAACTCTCAGCGAGAGAGACTTTTCCATATTAGACCACGCTATTCGGGTCTAATCTAATCTAATCTCGGCTCGCTACGAGTCAACCGTTCGTGCGGGATATCAATCTCACAATTTTCTTCATTTCGTTACGAGACATCTTTCTCGTAACTACTTCGCAAGTGATTGTCGGTTATCAGTTAACTATAATTGTCATTTTGAACGTTGTGATCGTCGACTGGAATCGTGTTGCGTCTTGTAACCGCGGTTGTGCGTGGCACACGACAAAGAAGAACTGCATCACGCCTCTTATTGTAAAGAACAGATCGCCATTCTATCGCGACAGAAGAATAAACCATTGCACAACCGCAGCTCGATTTCAAGAATTTCAACCACCACACCGATCCTTCCTTGCATTCCGTGCCCTGCGCTGGGCAGATCCAGCGGAGCACGAGAGAAAGCTAGTGCATTCGCTCACAAACACCAGGTAAAGACATTAAGTTCTTTGACCTAAATAAAGGACCACCTAACGTACGTTCTGTGATCGGAGTAAATGGGCCTCTCCGCATCTTGTCCTGACCTACCAGTACGTTTAGGCCTCGCGAGTGCGCGAGTAAGCGATGTTTGTTGCGTACATCCTCTTCCAGGACGTAATACTACGTAAATCCGTAAGAAAATTCACTAGTGACGATTTTTAATTTTTCTTACGATCAAAGAAAATCCCGACTGTGATTGATTAATTTTCTTATGGGATCACTATTAAAACCATAGAGATATGAGAATAGAGGGAACAAGGGATATATGCTACCTGTAAGTGGAAGTGATAGAGGCAAAGAGAGAGATGGATGCCGAGTGTCCTATCTGTCTCTTTCTAGTCACGCGCTGGGATTGGCTGCCGCGCCAACGACGATATAGCTATATATTTTTCTCCATC